TGAGTGAGTGAGTGTGTGTGTGTGAGTGTGTGAGTGAGTGAGTGAGTGAGTGAGTGAGTGAGTGTGAGTGAGTGTGTGTGTGTGTGAGAGAGAGAGTGATTCTCTCTACAGCAGGGTGACGTCAGGCAAAACAGAACCCAGCCCTTTGCCAATAAATAAGATCCCATATGTGCTATCGACGAATAAGTCAGTTATGTAAATGTAATAGCTGAATATCAACCTCCCTGAAAATGCAATTCAGTGAATAAGGCTGATATCTACAACCTGAACTGGGACTATAAGACATTTCGCTAGCCTTAAATGTACACACATTTGACGCGAAAGGTTTGATACTTTCTTCTTTGCGTAACATATCATTGTCTATGCGCTGCACTTGAAGAAAGTTCAGTTTTATCACACACACATCAAACTCACGTCCTATTAGCACAACACTACATTTTGAGCCCAAGCAGCTGCTTAACAGCTATCGCTATTGATCTAGTTGCGCAAGATCTCTCGAAACGGCATTGTTGACCGTGACAGCAGAGTGAAGGTGATTTTAAAAAGTGCATAAATCAAAAGCAACACAAACTGAGCTTCTCCGTTGACCTGCATGAGATGAAACGGGTGTTTTAGCTGCGCCCGCTAAGGAAGTTAGCCGCGTGCTAACTGCTAACTGCCTGCTGTTTGGGCTCAAGTGAGCTCAGGTTTAACCCAGTGGGTTTTGTTTACAAAAGCGTCCAGCCGCACGCCATCGCGGCCGGTTTGTCATCCCGAACCGAGCCGGCAAATCAGACCCACCTGCCGAGGTTGAGCCCCTGCTCTTTGTCGTTGATCGCGGTGGTGTAGATCCTCCGGTACCGCTCCGCCAGTGCTCGCCCCGAGAGAAGCAGCTGGTAGCGGCTCCGACAATCCGAGCGGGCCCCCACAACAGGACAGGAGCCCATGCCTGCTCCGATCGATGCGAGATCGCTTCCAGCTCCGGGAATGACCCTGACTCCCAGCTCCATGGAGTGGGACGAGGAGGACGGGATCCCGCTGTCACCGGCACCCGCTGCCGCAGCAGCACACATCATCGTTTAGGGGAACAACGCATATATTAGATTACAGTGTCAGTCAACAGAGCTACCTCAAAAGTCCCAAGCACACCCCATAAATCCGCTCCGCAAAAACACCCGGCGAATTAACGTACATCCGAGCACCTCCAATTTAAACGACGTTTACGGTTAGCCGCTCTGCTGCGACTGCGAAATACGCGTCCGTTCCTTCGCCCGGGTCCAAAACCGACCGTTATTTCCTCGACTGCAGGCGACCCGACTGCCTGAAGCGAAACCAGTCAAAAGCGCGAGCTGGCGTCCGTGCTTCGCGGGTGTTCCTGCTGTTTTTCTCGACCCCGTAAAGACAGCACCCCTAGCAGCGCTGCCATCTTAGCTTCATCATCCTTCCCTGTGTGTTCATGTCGCTGGCTGGCAAGCATGCCGGGATACATTCCCATCCATGGCACACACGCCGGCTGTGTTTCGAAACGCAGTGCGCGGCCTACCTAGACACAATTCGAGCGCTCGAGCGATGTTCTAAACGCGCCTAGAGTGCTGTCCAGCTAGGGGACTCGATGGAGTTTGAAACGCGCCCGCTGTAGTAGTACTGAAACGGCTGAGTATGAGGCGCCAGATGCGGGTTTGGATGCTTTAACGGTCGTTTCTCTCAAATAAGAATGTGAATTTACTGAACGGTTACAAAAACACACATCCAGCGAGATTATTTCCTTACAAGGGTGATGAATCCTAGATACAATACACTTGTATGGTTATTATTATGCTCTGACAACAACATGGGCCGTTCATTTCTGGCAACATCTGGTCATATTAGGCGTATTTGATAAGATCTTTTATAGGTTTATATTGTATTTGCATATTATTCTGCAGCTGTAGGACTCGACACGCTTTCCTCACATACTAAATATCATTTCTACACATTATTTCAATTATTTGTTCAGTAGTCATGCTTTAAAGACATAGTTCACCCAATACAACACAATACAATTAAAGTCAGCGGTCACCAAAACTGCTTGGTTGCCAAAATTCTTCCTAATATTGTCTTTTATGGGCCACAGAGGAAAGTAGCCTCATTCAGGTTTGGAATGGCACAAGGGTGAATAAATGATGACAGTTAGCCAGTCGTTCACACAAAAATAACCCCTTCATGTCGACTGGTCACACCAAACCTAGGCTTGCTGTCAGAATGTGTTTCCGTGGATTGTGTTACGGCATGTTTTCTGGCATACTTGCTGCGTCCCAAATGGCGCACTATACACTCATACACTATGTACTTGTGCCCTATGCACTCAACCATGTAGTGCATGAATTACATGTAAGGTTATTTTGTCATTCATAATCGGAGTCTGATAGCCCCTCCCCCTTCGCTAAGTGCATCATCCGGGTATTTAAAGTGCACTTTTTCTATTTGGAATGTTCAGTGTGAACGCACTACTCGCACTATTTATACTACACAACTTCATAGAATAGTGCTTAAGTACGCACCTACTGTTTCTGTTACCACTTAAGCACTGTTACCAGTGACCTTGATCCCAACAGAACGAGGGATGTAACCTTGGAGAGGTAAGGTAAAAATGTAGGAGTTAAAAATCACCACAAAAGCACAAACAGTAACTACATAATTACTTACAATATATAATTATAAATATAATAAATATTGGGGGCATGTGAAAAAGAAGTGCACTTAATTTACTGAAAGTGTACTTGTAGACATGGCTTAAACCTAGTCCCAGACTAAAATGCATGTCTGAGCTCGTTTCAACTAAAAGATACTTGCACCGATATATATTTTAAAATATATCAGTACCATTGTTTCGTCTCGAGATGCGCACACCAGTAATGTTTTTTTTTCTAAGGAATGTTTATAAAAGATACTTAAATGTCCTAATTGTACTATGGCCTACTTAGTCTAAGCCTTGAGTGTGAAACCAGACCATAGTATTAAAATCTTAAAGGTCTATTTAAAAAGAAAAAGTGTATTTGTACGTAATATAATATCAATGAAATAAAAATCTGCTTAAGTGTACTTAAAGAGAGTCCAGTTGCATGACTGTTTCTTACCACATGAGTACACTTTTAAAAATTGTGCTTTAAAGTAATGCTTAAATGGGTCAAAAAGCACTTTAAAGTTCAGCTAATACGTTTAAGCTATAATACATTTCTATTTAATTTTAATTAAGTGTTCGAAAAACATTACCTTCAGTAAGTATATTCTTTTAAAGTACTTTATTTCCATATAATAAAGAGTCACATGGGTCCCCCTCAATACCTAGAGTGATTAGAGCCCTGATTACAGCTTAACCTGGTACTTGTAAACATAGGATTGACTTGCAACCCACATATTCTCTTTATATCTTTGTAAATCTATCTATGATATAATTTCTGTATACCTGTACCGATCTGATTTCTTCTCAGATGTAACATTCCTGCTCACTGGTGAAAAATAATTGCCAATTGTGTTGGCGAGAGCAGTCACCTCTGCGGGGAGAGCTTTAATTAAACCTTGGAGACATCCGTTTTCATGTCATTTTTAAACAACACAGTGAAACTTCTGAAACGAAAACATATTAATGCATACCTCACTGTATGAGATCATCTTAGACGGTTAGAAACATGATAATGCAGAATGGACAAACATTTAAGTGGATATTACCATATTATTGCTTGTGCAACCGTTGCTCATCGTAATCTACACAAACCACTGACGCTGCACTATTAAAAATAAAGGAGTCTTCACAGCGATTCCATAGATGAACCATTTTGGAGGACATTTTCTAAATTGTAATGCTAAGGGCGCAACAGATTGAAGTGTAGCTTTATACATTGAAATTTCTATATCTCGCCAATGGTTATGCAATGTTGATCCATTGAATTAACCTTACATATAAGGTTCGTTAAATTTATTTTCTTACAACAATATTGAGGTAAGGATAATATGATTATATATAGTGATAGGTTACATCAACAAATTCTTAAACAAAAATTGCAGTAAAACATTGTATAAAAAATGCTTAAAATCACTTAAAATAGCAGAGGCACCTTTCCAGTAGACACTTTATTTAACACAATCAATGGGAAGTTTTACAATCAATGATTGCTCTCTCTCTCTCACTCTCTCTCTCTCTCTCTCTCTCTCTCTCTCTCTCTCTCTCTCTCGCTCCATGAAATTCTAATAAAGTGGAACAAAAAGGATATTTAAGTAATCTGATGAATATGACATAACCTACATCTGGATGTCATTTCAGTTGTCACATATACAGTATACGGTCACATACTTGAATGTTAAAATGTTAAACAATATGATTCACTTTTTCAAACTGCTTGACAAAAACTAAATTATGACAATGATTTTGTGTTATTTAATTATGTTCAATCTATTTAATCTATGCTTCGATATCTTTTACAGTTTCTATCATTAACATTAGAGTTGTCCTGCTCCTGGAGGGCCACTTTCCAGCCGAGTTCCCGCTCTGATTAAACACACCTGAACCAGCTAATCAAGGTCTACAGGATCACTAGAAATCTCCAGGCAGGTAGAAATGAAACATATTGCTTGTAGAATAACAGAGCTTGATGTTTTCTAAGACAGTTTCTTATGTTGAATTTATGAATTAATTAATCTCTTTATATGTCACCAAATAACCATGTCTATTATTTTCTCATAAACACAAGATTTTGTGGCTATTTTCAGACTAAATGAATCAAGATCAGTTATATGCACATTTCACATTTAATACTGATTCAGAAGTAAATGAATGAGTACCTGATAAAGCTGCTATCAGGGAGCAGGAAATAAAGCACAGGATAACAAATTCCATGTCAGATGATTATGCTGATTACTTCTTGTTTCATTAATTGTCCGTGCAAACAGTGCAAATGAGTATGCATCCATCTATCTACACTTTCTTTTGCAAGTTTGAGTTTCACTCAGATTTTTCAAATAAATTTTACACATGGAATTAAATAAAATCCTAAATTAAGAAGTTAAAATTTACCAAGTGGATAAGTACATACTTTCTTATTTTACTCAATCTTAGAGTGATTATATGTTCTCTTTTTTCTAGACATTTACTGGTCGGGATTTCAAAATTGCCTGAAATGTCTTGGTTTTGGCTTTGTTTTTCTATTGATGTGGAATTGAGTTTGACACCCCTGCAATAGGAAAATAAAGCCAAAATCTGGACACTTTAGGCAATTTAAAAATGTCTGGGAAAAAGAGGCTGTATTGTCACCCTAAAAGACAAGTGTTCACACTTAATTAATTTTTGTTTTAATAAATGTTTAATTTATTGCATTGACATTAGCACTATCACGAATCCGGTCCATGCACTTCCGTTCGCTCACCACCAGAGATCACCCGCTCACTACTATGGACTCTTGCACCACACTACTGTTGCACTTCACCCGGACTTCTCCCATCATCCATTGCACTGATTACACACACACAGCTGAATGCCCTGATTACACACACACAGCTGAATCCAATCAGACATGCTACATAAGCCATTGACTTCCTCTCTCTCACTGTCGAGTATTGTAAGTGCATATCACTACTCGATAGTCGATAGCTACTTTACAGAGCCAGTTCCCGTTCCTTGTTTGAGTTCTAGTTGTCTAGTCTAGTCTAGTCTCGTTTAGTTTCCTGTTTGCCTGTTTCCTGATTTTCGCTTGTCCTGGATTATCCCTCTCGTCTCACCCTGTTCGAATACTGTTTGCCCCTCGCCTGGACCATAGCCTGTGTTTCGTATTAACCCTTTAATACGAGTCACAGCTGATCTTCGTGAGTCCAATCACGTCTCAGCTGAGCTCCCGGAGACTCGTCAGCTCTCAGCTGTTCGTCCAGTGCCTAGTCACATCTCAGCTGTTTGTCCAGAGTCTCGTCACGTCTCAGCTGTTCGTCCAGAGTCACGTCACGTCACATCACAGCTAATCACCCAGAGTCATGTTACTTCCTGTCTGCTGCACTCATAACATAACATAATCACAGGATGGCGGCGCGTTCACACCCTGCGGCTTCTCTCTCTCCCGACCGAAAGGTGTTTTCGTGTTTTTTGTACGTATTCGTCGCGTCTATCTGTCTCTAAGCGTGCATACAGTCGTGAGTTTCTGCTCGATGTCGGCAGAACCACATTTTTAGAGTTAAACTCTGCGCACGTCAAAGAGCTGCGGGATCTCGGTCTGCTCCGGAGGCCCACACCATCACCGACCCCCACTACTGCATCTCGCCCACAGCGGAGGCGCCACAAGCGGCGTGAGAGGAAGCAGAAGAGGGGTAAGCGCGGAGGTATCCGGGCTAGGCTAGCGGTTAACCCACACAAGCCAGCTATCCCCACCATCGTACTGGCTAACGTACGCTCTTTGGACAATAAACTGGACTACATCCGACTACTACGCTCAACTCAGAGGACTGTAAGAGACTGTTGTG